TTCTCCAGTTAGAAATACCAAGAACTATGGCTATTTTCTTTTATATCTCATTATGTACTAGCAATAAATGCTTCAAAGCAGAGACATTTCAGCCAGTACATATATTTTCCAAATGATGCAAGTTAAAGAGCAGACTGTTGAGGAATGAACAGTGTATACAACTATGGGTTCACAAAAATGATCTAAAATTAAGTAATTTTAAAAGTTTAACCAATAGGCAAATATTTGAATTTTATGAAATTTACTTATAAATTCAATGTATATTCTATATCAATAATAAGAGGAAAGGGAAGTACACTGGCATATTTTATCATTGTTCAAATAAAAGAGCATTTTTCTTCCAATAAATTGAGAAACTACCATTTGTTCCTATCTCAGTCTACTGGAAAATCCATTTTTATGAAATTTAGTTAATTACACTTATGAGTATTAAAGATTTTTATTTCAATAAGTATTTATGAAATTTAAATATTTGCCTAATACCATTATAAGTTTAGTTTATTAGGAGATATAATTCATTTCCTAAAGAGTTTATTAACTCAAAGCAAAGCAAGAAAGCTATAATTAATATGCTCTGATATAATGAAGATTATTTTGTTATTTTTTGAATGTATCCCCTCCATAATTCCAGTGCTGCCAATGTGACACAATAAAGAAGTTAGGCCTTTAATAGGTGTTTAGGCCATGAGGGTAGCTCCCTCATGAATGGGCTTCACAGCTTTATATTCATGCAGCCTTTGGCTAGCTTGCCCTTTTCCCTTCCTGGGAAGCAGATAGCAGAAAAGTGAACCTCCTTCATCTGAAAGCGGAATCTGCTGGTTCCTTGACCTTGGACTTCCCAGCCTCCAGAACTGTGAGAAAATAAATTTCTATTCTTTGTAAATTTCCCAGTCTCAGGTATTTTGTTATAACAGCACAAATGGATGCATACACATTCCATAGCAATTTAGTTGTTCTTTTTAGTTACATGGAAAAACATACCTAGGATAAAATGTTAGGTGCTTTCTTCTTTCGTAGTTTATATGATACGTTTAGATAGCACAATCATTTAATCCATTCTCAACAAAAAGATACTGTGACTAATATCAAGTTATTTTTAGGAGGTAAGAGCTATTCAGTTCTATGCCAGCACAATATCCAGAACAGAAGGTGAAGACTCTTCAAGTAGCCTTTCTCCAGAATGTGTAAAAAACCTTAAGTTCCTTGATCATTCAGTAGGAAATTTGTGGAATGGGGAACTGATTAACTTCTAGTCTCTGCCCTCAGGAACCTATCAGTGTTGAAGAGAGATATATCAGTCACACAAATAATACAGCAATAATATAACATTATTACATAGTGTTTTAATACAAATGAAATACTAATAGTCTAATATCGTATTTCTTTTGAATATAAAAGATACCCTCAAAGTGTGATGACAGCTCAGTGGGTGGAGAGATTACTCAATAAGACAATGATAAAAGATTCTTGATGACTTTGTCATTGAAAGATTTCAAAACACTACACTGAGGACAGTTGTTCAATTTGGAGGGAATGGATGGAAGAGACAATGGCTGGAAAATAAGAGAAAATGTGATGATATCCGTTTAATAGAAACAATTAAAACCACCAATGGGTTTGGCAGGAGCATACGTATATGAAGTGAAATGATGTGAGGTAAAGCTGGAAAAGAGGACTGGGGTTAACTTATGGAGGGACTTAAATGACAATTTAAAGAATTTGACATAATTTGGTAGGTAACACCAAGCCTTTGTAATCTTCTGTGTAGAAAATGGACATAGTAAGAAATGTGTGTTTGGAAACTTATTCTGCTATTGGCGTAAAGTATGAGGAAAGAATTGGAGGTTGGAAGATTATTGGCAGGCTGGCATAGTGGTCCGGGCTTGCGGTGAAGAGCAGTAGAGTTAGGTCGTTGATGGGGAAAGAAAGGAGAGACGTTTCTCAGCAACAAAGAGGCTTTAGAATAATATATATGTCCTAGTCGGCCGGGCGTGGTGGCTCACGCCTGTAATCCTAGCACTCTGGGAGGCCAAGGTGGGCGGATTTCGCGAGGTCAGGAGTTCGAAACCAGCCTGAGGGAAGTCCTGTCTCTACTAAAAATAGAAAGAAATTAATTGACCATCTAAAATATATATATACAAAAAATTAGCCAGGCATGGCTAATTACTACTACATGCCTGTAGTCCAAGCTACTTGGGAGGCTGAGGCAGTAGGATCCCTTGAGCCCAGGAGTTTGAGGTTGCTGTGAGCTAAGCTGATGCCACGGCACTCTAGCTGGGGCAAAAGAGTGAGACTCTGTCTCAAAAAAAAAAAAAAAAGTATATATGTCCTAGTAACTGATTTGAATGTGTGAAACAAGAAATTTGAACAATCAGAGGTAATTCCAAGACTTCAAGTTTGAATTGTAGAGGGAGAATTGTTATGCTATTATTAAATATTAATATAATGAAGCCAGCAGGGGGAGCAGATTTGAAAGTAGGATAAAAAGTTTGATTTTGGTTACCGTATGATGGGTAGGCTGTAGAAATAAAACCACAGAGGTTTTATTTCCTGTTCATATTTGCATGTCTAAAGAGATCAGGAGGAATATTCTTCTCCATGAAATCACTCAGGGACACAGACTCCTCTTCAGGAACTTGAAAGAGAAATGAAAGAGAAAGATTGAAAAATGTCCCACAGCCTTTTTACCTACTGACTCAGTCTGGAAGTGACGCCCATCACTTTTGCTAATATTTCACTGGTCCCATGGCCCCACTTGAATGCAAAGGGGGCTGAGAACTGAATCTCTTGTATACTCAGGGAGGAAAGGATATTGGTGAGCACTAATAATATCTGCTACAGATGCAGTGGCTGTAAATAAGATGAATCTTTCCATAGCTCTGCAGAGTGTGTACGTGAAGGGAGGAATAATGAGTGGGAAGAGAATACTTTGTCCTACTTGATATGAAAAGCCTCCCTCTGTACTCAGGCACCACTTTAACCAAAGAAACTCTGGGCTCACAAAGGCTTCACGCCCGGCTAATTTTTTCTATATATATATTAGTTGGCCAATTAATTTCTTTCTGTTTTATAGTAGAGACGGGGTCTCACTCTTGCTCAGGCTGGTTTCAAACTCCTGACCTCTAGCAGTCCACCCGCCTCAGCCTCCCAGAGTGCTAGGATTACAGGCGTGAGCCACCGCACCCGGGCTTAAAAGGTATTCTTTAATCTGAGTATAATACTGCCTGGTAATGATACCTACTTTACAGAGAAGCAAGAGGTTCATTGCATAAAGTCCTCTCACGATGCTCAAGAGACTTTCTAGAAGTTCTATAAGTGGTGTTATTACATAAATCCTTTGTTTTGACTGTGTTGTAACATGAAATAGAAAGAAATCCTTTGTATTTATAAATGTCCAATAAAATATAATTTGTAGCACATACTTGTAGCAAATAAGTACTTAGAAGCTTAACTCACTCTTAGGTTACTCAAGGGTACCTATGATTTCGTGTACCATAGGCAAAATGGTACTCACATACATAACGCTCTTTACTTCTCAAGTCTCCTAGTTGAATGTTCTAATCCTTAGTACTAGGGGTTGTTAGGTTATTATACAGAATTCTTTTTATTTAATTCTTGGTAATTGTGTGCTACTATAATGCAATGCCTTTGAATATCATATGCACACATTAAGATTTTGTTGATACTTGAAAGATAGATTGGAGAGTTGAAATAAATTATAAAGCTAAATAATAAACCTGTGTATATATATTTATAAACATAAACACAATATTTATTATTGTAAATTTTGAATTACATATTAATTATATTTATGTTATACTATATCATTTATTACAATTATACACAGATAAAACTTTAGACTACTGTGGGAACATTTTTAAATAATCATGTTTAAGAGATTGTAATTTAATTATATTTTATTCAATTGATGTGACAGATCCACTTTGAAGGAAGAGCAACAGTTGGAACCCGCCATCACCAAATAAGATTTACATATTCAATTCTATTTATTCAACTTGTAATTCCGAACATAATATTATGTATAAACGTCTTTTCTTATCTCTACACACTCACCAAAACAACAGAAACCTCTATAATTAATAATCTAAGGCACACTTCATACAGGGAAATTTTAATGTAGAAATCAAGTCAATGAGTCAGATTCTCACAAAGATTGAGATGTTTCCTTTTTCTATGTTTTTAAAAATACAAGGTGTGTGCCTTTAGAAACAGCATAATGCAGAATGATAGCAGTTTAAATGAATTAATGCTGCTTCCAAAGGTACCTAACTCATGTTCAGGGAAAAGCAGATACGCATCGCGCCCTGTAAGAATCTGACTTAATGTAAAACATTTCATCTCATCTCCAATACCACAGGCTGCCACTATGAAGTGCAATCACGACACGACGAACGTCTGTCAGAAAAGTCCAATTAGTTAAACAAAGAAAATAGTTGTTCAGACAGGCACAAGTTTCTTAAGAGTTTGTCATCTTTTTTTTTTATTTTTTATTTTTTTTGACTAAATTAATCCTTAGAGAAAGTTTGTAGTCTTTTAATTGCAGACATGATTAATAGAATACAAGTTGCTTTTGCAAACCCTGAATAACGATATGACTGAGGTTTGCTGAAAGCCACTTAAAATCAGATACAGGGGGGCCGGGTGCGGTGGCTCACGCCTGTAATCCTAGCACTCTGAGAGGCGAGGCGGGCGGTTGCTCGAAGTCAGGAAGTTCGAAACCAGCCTGGCATAGAGGCGGAGACCCGTCTCTACTATAAACATAGAAAGAATAATTGGTCAACTAATATCAATATAAAAAAAATTAGCCGGGCATGTGCGCATGCCTGTTATGTCCAGCTATTGGGGGCTGAGCAGGAGGTCTCTTGAGCTCAGGATTTGAAGTTGCTATGAGCTAGCTAATACACGGGCACTCACTCTAGCTCGGGTACACAAAGGAGACTCTGTCTAAAAAAAAAACAAACAAAAAAACAGAATACAGGGCATATACATTTAATAAAAACTCACTGTTGATAATACAAAAGGAAACCCTCATGGACACAAATTGCTTTTATATTTTTAAATAACCATTCAGTACCAGCACATACAACAAAGAATAGAATTTAAAAAAATATTTTGACTGAGTCAGAAGCAGGGTTTTATTTATTTATTTTTTAAACAGCATCTTATCTCATTTCAGAAATCTAATGCAAAGAAAGGACTGCTTAATGAGGGTACTTAGAATTGCTGGTTTTCTAATGTTCACAATAATAACTTTATTATTAGCTGTTTACAATGTACCAACCTTCGGATTACCATTTTTTCTTTTGTTCTTAAACTCAGGTCATAAAGATATCGGCCAAGAAAATAGCGTTTTTGTTATTAAAGTAAAAATCTCTAGCAAGAACATTTCATTTTTAAAAAAGACATTGTCTTTTCATTATGGGATCTTAATTAGTACTACATTTGAAACAATTCTTTGACAATGTGTATGTACTGGTAACAGACATGGGATATACAGACTCATATATTCACATGAGAAATGAAAAAGGCAGTTACATTATACAGGAAATCACTAGTGTATTTGAACATGAAACAATGAGAAGAACTGTGAAGGTACATTGACCTCTAAAGGGGTAAGTAATTCAATGGTTCTTTATTTAAAACTTGAACGGCATTCCTCTTGCCATATCCATTGGATCTCACATTGGTAGGTGAGTGAACAGCACCAAAGTTGTTACTGTAACGAACTAAAAAATTTGCCAGGCGTTGTATTGTACAGGTAGCAGTGTTGCATGTCTGTGATGACTGGTAACATTGAACAAATATGAAAGATTAGAGACTTGGAAATGGGATTGGATACACCCATGTGACACCAGGTATCTCATATTGATGAAAACTAAAGGAAACATTTTCACATAAGTAAGCAACTCAGTGTTTGGGTTGTAGATTTTTTTGACACCTTGAAGAAGCAACAGAATCATTTTGACTAGGAACTCATATAACATCTTCCATTATAGTTAATGTTGTATTTTCCAATACAATTCCTTTTTTGGGAAATTCATAATACATTACAGATGATAATAATCACAAGGTGTCTTTGTCCTGTATTATTTTAAATCTTGTTGATGAATTTATTTTTCATTATATAAAAGACACTTAGAATGTAAAATTTTTACATAACCTGAAATATGTAGAAATTAATCAAATATTCATTTCTCACATCTTTCCAACAAGAATTAAGCAGTATTAGTTAATTTCTGTTAAGTTCCTTGATTAAGATGATTGACTAAGATGATCTTGATTAAGATCATAGATTCGGGAGTGTTAAGAAAGAAATGTCAGGAGGAAATTCTGCAACATGCAACCACATGGGTAAACCTTGAGGACAATATGCTAAGTGAAGTAAGACAGTCACAGAAAGACAAGTGCTGCATGATTCCACCTATATGACGTGTATTCAAAACAGTCAAATTCATGATTCAAAGAGTGGAATGGAGGCCGGGCGCGGTGGCTCACGCCTGTAATCCTAGCACTCTGGGAGGCCGAGGCAGGTGGATTGCTCAAGGTCAGGAGTTCGAAACCAGCCTGAGCAAGAGCGAGACCTCGTCTCTACTATAAACAGAAATAAATTAATCGGCCAACTAATATATATAGAAAAAATTAGCCGGGCATGTAGTCCCAGCTACTCGGGAGCCTGAGGCAGGAGGATTGCTTGAGCCCAGGAGTTTGAGGTTGCTGTGAGCTAGGCTGACGCCACGGCACTCATTCTAGCCTGGGTAACAAAGTGAGACTCTGCCTCAAAAAAAAAAAAAAAAAAAAAGAGTGGAATGGTGGCTACCAGTGGGTAGGGGCAGGGGGAAATGGGCAGTTACTAGATAATGAGCATAAAGTTTCAGTCAAGTGAAATGAACAAGCTCTAGGAATGTGCTGTACAACACTGTGCCTATAATCAACAATAATGTAGTGTATGCTTATGTTGAGAGGGTAGGTCTCATGTTAAATGTTCTTGCTACGATAAAATAAAATAAAAAAGAGAGAATGTCAGGTATTATAAAGTCTCAAGAGGAATCAGATGTATCACCTGTTCGGGCACTCTTACTACTTCAGAGTGGGAGTTCTCTTCCTTTTAGCATAACTACATGAATATTACCATTTCCCTGCGATCTGCTTGGATCCTACGCATTTAACATTTTTAATAATAGGACTGGGTTAAATGTCAAACGAAAAGACCTTTTTATATCAATGGGATTAATATTCACCACATTTTTAGCCACCTGGAACGATTGCATCATAATGTCATAGATAAGTCAGAAATCATCACCATGAATTTAGTAATTCATTTGAATTTTAACTTTCTTTTCTATTTTAAAAAATTATTTATATTAACTCTATATTTTTGGGCTACCTTTTTTTCAGTGTGCTTTCCAGATGGCATTGGAATTGGATACAAAATAATAGCATTGCTTCCTTTTTGCTGGTTATTAAAAAAGTTAGGGAAATGTTTTAGTTTTCACTTCCATAGAAATCAAAATATCGGTGAAACTTAGGATAAATGGAAAGTGGAAAGTAGTCAGTTGTGAGGCTAAAAACTCAATGTCCAGAGGCCAGTAGATATACAAGACTGGGGGTAAATGCAAGGGATTTATCTCAGTGTGTTTGCTTTGTGTGGAGAGTATTTCATTCTCTCTCTATATATACAGAAACAGTCTAAAAGTAAATGTGTAAATGTTTTAAAATTTCATGTGAGGCTGGGTGCGCTGTCTCACGCCGGTAATCCTAGCACTCTTGGAGGCCAAGGTGGGTGGATTGCTCGAGGTCAGGAGTTCAAAATCAGCCTGAGCAAGAGTGAGACCCCATCTCTACTATAAATAGAAAGAAATTAATTGACCAACTAATTATATAGAAAAAATGAGCTGGGCATGGTGGTGCATGCCTGTAGTCCCAGCTACTTGGGAATCTGAGGCAGCAAGATTGCTTGAGCCCAGGGGATTGAGGTTGCTGTGAGCTAGGCTGACGCCATGGCACTCACTCTAGCCTGGGCGACAAAGTGAAACTCTGTCTCAGAAAAAAAAAAAAAAAATTTCATGTGAAACTTCAATTTTTTTTTTTTTTACTTTTTTATTCCCATTATTTCCTCCCAAATATGGAAAATTCTTCTTACAGGATCAGGTGAACTGGATATTTGTTGAGTGTAAGTGTATGCTGACAAACCAATTATTCAGGCAAAGAAAACCCACTGTGGGACCTAATTATTGGGTCTATATCAATCTTATTTACACTATCTGCTCAATTATTTCTCTTTGAAGGTATAGTAAATATGACCAGTGTGCATTTAAAAAAATGATCTCATTCTTTTAAGGGTTGAACCAGTAATTCTTTGCACTAGACATTAAATTTTAAAAGGCAAGCTTTTCCTGAAAAACAGCAAGAATTGGAATTTGACCCAAACACGTAAAACTAATAAATTTAAAGCAATAGAGGAAATTATGGGTCAAATTGAGAAGGTTCAAAGAGGATATCTGTTTCAAGATATGTTTATCAAATGACTGGAACATTTGAAGTGTGAAAGAAATATTCAATATACTACATGCTGAGTGATACTTTGATAATTGGTTGGCAGGTCAGTACTAGGATTTAAAATTATTCTAAATAAAATGTTATTTTATTTGTGTTAGCTATAAAAAGGTCATCATTCTATTTAAAAGAAATTATAAGAGTCTTTATGTTTGTTTCATAATTGTGAAATTGCTTTGCTAAACAAGACTTTTCATCTAAATATACTATTCAGCATGTATAAGATTCCATCCAAAGCAATCATTAGAATGGGACAAGATGGCTGAAATGGTAGGGGAAAGGCATGGCACCCCCACTTGCAGGCATTTTTTCCTCATTAACTACCTAGACAGACAAGGCCTATCTGCCTACCCACCCAGCAGCAAACACTGAAGCTGTGGATCTCTTGCAGGTACATGGTGCACATGGAAATCTTGACTTTAAGAGAGCTTACGCAATGACAGTAAGCCAAACTATAAGTCTTAAATTGTCTCTTTTTAATGTCTCTCAAGATTGTTAAAAATGGTTTAAAAATGGGTCCCTGCTCTCAGATCTTAACATTCATCTCTGGAGAAGTGTGGACTCCTACAGGGAGAGCCTAGTGATTATAGCTTGGCACCTGTGTAATTATATTATTAACTACCTTCTGATTACCTGCCAGGCAGATATTTACAACAGAGTGTAAAGAAAGGTGGCGGGAAAGTACCACCTTTTGCAAAAGATCCTTTTGTTTTAGCCGTGAGCATAAAATAATGTAACTATTTTTTATATGGTTTGTAAGGTCAGTTCATTATCCCTTAATCCCATCTCATAAATGTATAAAAGTTGAAAAAAATCTCCAATGAGGTGACTGAATTTTATGAGAGAAATGTTATAAATCTACATTAGATTTATTTTTTAAGGGAGTTGAAAATTTGAGACATTTTCTACATAGGTTTTCTTAGCTTTTTATGAGATTTACAGGATATTACTTGATTTAACAATTCACAATGATAAACCATGCCCCCCTTTAAAAAATGATCAAACATACTAATTTTAGGAAACACATTAAAAAGCAATTTGAAGAAATTTTTTTTTTAACTATTTCTAATGACAATTCAAAATAAAAGATGTGAGACTAGCATGAAAATAATTTGATAATAAGTAATGGTATATGTTGATTATTCTATTTCTAAGTGAAGTTCACCTCATAATAGGCAAATAGGTAAATAAACACACACTGGAGAAATGTGCTTAGCAAATGTCTATGTCTAATGAAAGAAAAGATCAAGATGTAGACAGACATTCTAGTTAATACTGCTAATTTTCTCATCATCATCCAATTGTTTTGCTTATCAGAAACTTCATGTCAGTTTTATTTTTATCCATGAAAAAGTCAATAGAAAGTTACAGTCAGTTCTGAGAAGAACATCCTGTAAACTAGATAAGCCCTGAAATGACAAAGAACATTTGACGACAGTTCCAGCTATTCATTATACTTAGGTGTTGTAGAAATTTTCAGTTATTGCTATGGACCTCCACCGCAACAAAAAACACTTGAAGGGAAACAAAGACATGATCATTCTAATGAGAAGAATTCTAACATGACTTAAAGCACACTCTCTTCAAAGGTAAACTTAATTCTCCTTGGTGTTAAAGAATGTAAATTCAGCCCCATAAGACTATTTGGACTCTATGTTATATTAATTATGACATATGCATGGATTTGAAATTTAAAATCTCCTAAATAAATGGAGAATTACAATTTTAAAGAGTTTCCATTTGAAAGTTGTAATTACTGCTAACGTTTTCATCTGACAAATTTTTTAGACTTCCTTAAAAGTACCACTTAAATGACATGAAACCTTTCATAATAGACCTTCTTAGAAAATCCTGATGCACATGCTACCTACTGAAAATAATTTCAAGTAGTATTAAGTTACATTTATAGCAGCTAAGGAGTTATCTCATGAAGAATGGAGTTTTATAATTCTGTCTAATTAACAAAATTGCTAATGACATAGAGAACGAATCTCCCAACAAACAGCAAATGACTTTTAAACTAGTTTTTTTTTAAGTTTAACTTCTTAAAAACTTTGATCTTCCCCTGATTATTTTTGTACATTTCAATTTCCAGAAAATATAAAAGTTTTGCATATTCCCAGCCTTTTGAGGAAAACAAAAGTCTACATAAAGACACAATAGAATTGCACATGATATGAAATATATGCTTTACTTAAGTTTCTCCAGTTTGTTTCAGCGTCAGGTTAATAGAGTAGAAATTACTACCTTTTGGTTTTTCCTGCTTCACGTTCTGGCTTTGCCCCTCTAAGTTCCAAAAGCATGTTTCTCGAGAAAACTGGAATCATGCTTAGGCATGATTTAGTCAGAAATCTAAATGGCACAAGGGCTATTAGTTATGCAGCAGTATGTAATTCTAGTTTTTCCATACTTTATGAAAGAAATAGGATTTTAAAATTACTAACCTTTCAAGAGGAGTAGCTTTCAGATGGTTTAATACAACAGAGAGCACAAGGAGAAAAACTGGCAGCTTCAGGATGCACATTGTTTCTCCAATTTTCTGAAAAGAATAATCCAGCACTGAAATCAAAATATTTCTTATGGTTCTAATTGATGTAATTTTAAATTAAAGCCTTTTTAAAAAAAGCCTTAAAACATAATTTATAAGGATCAACATTTTTATTGATATAGTCCCTTCATACTGTTCAATTTTTAAATATTTTCTCAATTTTTACTCTCCTTATTTCCTTCTCTAAACAAACAGAAAATTGATAATATAATACATTATCCCTTTAGGCTTTCTTTCACATAAACCATATCTTTAACACCAAGTTTGCTTTTCCCTAAATAAATAATGCTTTCCCAGAAAGAGGAAATTCTTTACCTTTTGGTGTTTTAGTGTCAGCAATATCAGCAAATGCCTTTGATAGCAAGAGAGCTTCAGGAAAAGACCTCAAGCTTACATCTACTGGAGAATTGACCTCTTCATTTGCTGACTAGTAATCTAGCTCTTATATAACTTTCACAGCTTTCTCAGCTCTGATCTCAGGCAGCTCAGAGAGACTGTCATTAATTTCCATCCCTATAGATAGAAAGTGCTTCATAGGCAGCAAAAGCAGATGGGTCATTATTACATTAACACATCAGTAAATATTAATGTAGCAAATACAGAGTGTCTCTGTGTAGTTAATGGTGTATCATACACAGCAGATGTTTGAATTTGCCATCTTTACAAGACACAAGTGAATTTTCAAGAATTAGATGTATGCTACAGTAAGGAATTGATAAAAAGAAGTGATTAAGAATAACAACAAATATGAGTATGTGCAGAGAGAAGCCAGAGATTTTGAGGAGGTATAACTTAAATCCAAATGACCCCAATGGCTTAATCTCATACATCAGACTAAGTTGAGACATAGTGCGAGAATTTACAAAAAAGGGGATAAAAGAGAAACCCAAAGCCATTTACAGTGAATTGAGGGGGAGGATTAAAGGCAGGTGAAAAGACGGGAACTAATTTTGTACATCCAGAAATTTACCGGGTCTGTCGGCAGCATTTAACCCCTGAGGTAGATTGCAGAAACACGGTATATGCGTCAAGCAACTGTGTTTGAGCGACTTGTGGGCATGAGTTACTTAGAGAAGTAGTCGAGCCAATTAGTGTGTTTAAGCCATTGTCGGGGTTATGGTCGTCACGAGGCCCTGAAGGACCGTTGCCCACAGGCGGCCAACTGCGATAGTTCCCCTGCACGGGTATTGTACGTGTGCATGGTCCAGGACAAGCTCTGTTTTGCTCTTGTTGTGAGTGAGGAGGAAGGCTTGAAAAGCAGCGCTGACAGCTTGTTGTTACTTTACAGGCAAGCGTTTACCTCTCGCTAATGTGTCAATCGAGGAACTACGGGTAACACCAGTAGGCAGTATATTGTTGGTGTCGACTGTACAGGTTTATTTGTTTTTAGAATGTTCGGCAACTTGTTATTTTGAGTAAGTATGGAAGAAATGTAGAAATGAGGTCATCGTCGACGGCTGTCGGTAAAGTCGCTCGTGCGTCGGTTCATCTGTTGGGCTGGTTGGACTATAGTCGGAGCGGCTGGAGTGACTGAAGGTGCGGTTAAAGAGCTAGGACCGATTCTGGTTGTGCGCCCTCGGTAACTTCGGATGAGGAAAATTGATGAATGGGGCGTGCTCTCTCTTCTCGGCAGAGGTGCTCTCTGCTTCCTTTTTTTTTTTTTTTTTTTTTTTTTAAGGCAAAAGGCAAGTTGTGAGGGGGCCGTAAAGAAAGAAAGAACAAAGAGAAAGTGGCGTTCCCCAGTAGACAGAGCAGCAGCTATCTCTCAGAGCAATAGAGAGTAGCACTTTGCGAGCTTCTGGAGACTGATTTTATACCTTCTATTTAATTTTATGTTAAGCAGAGGGAGGATTATTCATAAGATTTTTGGAAAAGGAGTGGGGAGTTCCCCAAACCAAGGGTTCCTCCTTTTTTAAACCATGTAGGGTAACTTCCAGGAGTTGCCATGACATCTATAAACTGTCATGGTGCCGGTGGAAGTTTCTTTTAGCATGTTAATACATTATAAGCAGGGTATAATAAATGCAGCTGAGGCATATCGTGAAGAAATTTATTATGGCCATTTTGGTTCTAGCTGGTGTGGGCCAGTTTCTCTACCACCTTCTGTTTTATCAGAGACCTTGGTTCAGATCGTATGACTCCTTATTATTATTATTATTTTATTTTGGCATATTATGGGGATACAAATTTTAAGGTTTCAAAAAATGCCCTTTCCCCCCTCCCCTCACAAGTCTGAGTCTCCATCATGACCATCCCCAGATGGCACATCTCACTCATTATGTATGTATATCCCCCCTCCCCTCCCACCTGCCCAATACCTATTACTGTAGTACCTATGTGTCCACTAGGTGCTGCTCAGTTAATACCAGTTGCTGGGAGTATATGTGGTGCTTGTTTTTCCATTCTTGGGATACTTCACTTAGTAGTATGGGTTCCAGCTCTAACCAGGAAAATATAAGATGTGCTATATCACCGTTGTTTCTTAGAGCTGAATAGTACTCCATGGTATACATATACCACATTTTATTAATCCATTCTTGGATTGATGGGCACTTGGGCTGTTTCCATAGCCTTGCAATTATGAATTGTGCTGCTATAAACATTTGAGTGCAGGTGTCTTTTTTGTAGAGTGTCATTGGATCTTTTGGGTAGATGCCCAGTAATGGGATTGCTGGATCAAACGGTAGATCCACTTGTATGGCTTTAAGGTATCTCCATATTGCTTTCCACAGGGGTTGAACTAGTTTGCAGTCCCACCAGCAGTATAGGAGTGTTCCTCTCTCTCTGCATCCACGTCAGCATTTATTGTTTGGGAACTTTTTGATAAAGGCCATTCTCACTGGAGTTAAGTGATATCTCATTGTGGTTTTGATTTGCATTTCCCTGATGATTAGAGATGTTGAGCATTTTTTTCATATGTTTGTTGGCCATTCTTCTGTCTTCTTTAGAAAAGTTTCTGTTCAAGTCCTTGTCTGGCTTCCCTTTTAAAATAATTTGTTTTTATTCATTTTCTCCAAATTGTTCTTTCCTTTTTCTTATATTTTTAAAATTTATTTGTTACATTCTACATTATAACAACTCAATGTCATTTATAGCAACTAAAAGGAACTTCAACTATCAGTGAAAATGTGCATGTCTGTGTAATTAAAAATATTAGAATTCTTCAAGTAAAGAAGTTCATTGATTTCATATACTTCTTACAAGCTTAGTAAACATAGTTTGAGGGAGTTTGGTAGATATTTCAAAAAGAAAGAAACAAACTTGTTTCCAATCCTTGTTCTAATTATACAATGATTCTATAATTTTAATGATTCTGTAAAATTTGCTGATATCCCCTAAAAAAAAGAAAACTAAATAAAATAAAAGTATTTGGAAGGATAATGGACTTCCTGTAAGAATATAATGTGTTTTGCATGGTGAATACAGTGATTTAGAAATGATATATAGGCCAGGAGATATTAAATATTGTCCAACATCAAACATCGACTTAGAGCTGAATCCTGGACCCAAGCTAACCTTTTCTGATTCATGGTCTAGTGTTCATTTAGACCAAAATGCCTACCTCTAACCTACATATTTATTTTATTTTCATAGCTTTTCTGAGATGTTAAGAGTTCCAAACATAATATTTAGAAATGTATTCTTGCTCACTCTCTGGGAAATTAATGCTATAAGGAAAATGTTCTACCTAAGAAAGGAACAGGAAGACCTGACATTTTTTAAGGACTGCTGTATGTCAGGCACTGTTATTTAAATGACATGTGACACTTCACTTCATCTTCATACCTCTAAGGTGGGTATCATTTGCCCCAATTTATAGATGATAAAGCTGAGATTCAGAGAATATAAGTGACTTGCTTAAGGTTACATAGCTACTCAGGAGCAGAGTGGAATTCAAATTCTCATCTGTCTGTCCCAGGATATTTGTATTTTTGTTGAAAAGGATCTCTTTTCCTATATTCTCAATTGCCAATCGCTTTCTCTGAGTTGGCTATGTTGTTATAACACCCTGAATGATTTTGTTATAGCCAGATGTGGCCTTATGTTGGTCTTTTGTGTAATGTTTAGTAAGGTCAACATCTACCCCGATTTCAAATGGCTTCAGTTTTCCTTATATACTAAGGAAAATGAAGATAATAATAGTATATGAAGATTTAGATCCTCTTTATGTGACCACTCCCTTACCAGGTCATATGCTCCCTCCTGAAGGACATGCATTATTGCCACTTTGTATATCTTTGTGTATCCTCCAGCCTTGCTAGTTAAAGTGTGAATAAGGTGCTGAAAGCTTTGGCATCACCTGGGAGCTTGTTAGAAATGCAGAATTGCAAGCCTCACTTCAGATCCACCGAATCAGAATCTGCATTTCAAAAAGGATTTCCCCACTGACTGCATGCACACCCGCAGCTTGAGCAAAACTGTCCTGTAGTACATTCCATTTATTCATCGATTCAGTAAACATTTATAGAGAACCTACTGTGTGGCAGGGATTCTTCCAGGTACCAGAGATAGAACAGTGAACAAAACCCATTTTTGTTCTCATGCATCTTAGAGTCGGTGGAAGAAGCACAGAGTAAGCAAGTGACCAAGTAAATACGCAATTACAAATTTTTATTTTCAACTTCCTCTCTTCCTGCCCACTCGTATTGAGGTCTCTCCCTTACAGTCTCTATTCTCCTCTGTTTCTCTAAACTAGTTGCTTTCTAGAATTATTGCACTCTTGTTCCTTTCCTTTGTTGTCACATTGAGAAATATTCTCACCATTCTTCTGTTTCAAATATCCTGCTTTAGCTTTCTTGGTTTATACCCTTATTTGAAGGAACATATCTACAGTTAATTTCCTAATTTTTCTTCAAGGAGTGAATATTCTTAGTTGACCGGAAAATCAAGTTGGGGAAGGGGGTTAGAGTTGAATTGATTTTCCCTGTGTTTAATTTGGTGTTTCACTTCTTCCCTTTGCAGTGATTGGTTTCCGCAGATCCAAGGTCTACCAAATTTAATTTATCCATAGATTAAACTGTTTTGGGGTTAAGGAGAGGAAGTTACCTGGATGCTTAGAGGGAAGTAAGGAGAGGGAGGGTGTGTCTTAAAGTCCACAGTTTTAAGTATATAAAAATTCTCTAGCTCTTATTCTTATCCCATAACCTTGCTTCTGAATTATCTGGGGTCTAAAAATCCTAGACTTTCAGAGACATCGTGGAGCAATTTGGCTTGCTTGGTGTTAACATTGCTTTCTCAACTAGGCGTAGGAATCTGAAAAGTAATATCTCTCCTCAGTCTTTTTCCATTTTCTAAATATATGTGGATATTTTCAGCCTGTTATTGTTTCCTCTCTCATTCTCTTTGTTCTTGTGTCCTTTTTATTTCTTTGCCTCCATTATAATATTGCCATGGTTAAGTAAAGTCTGTTACATGTTGATTCCTTCAGGAACCTCCCAATTGCTTGGTAGTTATTTAGACTTACATCCTAACAAACTTTGCTTTTTATTTTCCTTTTAATGTTTTCAATATTGTTCATTTTATTTATTTATTTGTTTTTGAGACAGAGTCTCACTTTGTTGCCCAGGCTAGAGTGAGTGCCATGGCGTCAGCCTAGCTCACAGCAACCTCAAGCTTCTAGGCTCAAGCAATCCTACTGCCTCAGTCTCCTGAGTGGCTGGGACTACAGGCATGCGCCACCATGCCGCTAATTTTATATAATTTAGTTGCCAATTAATTTCTTTCTATTTATAGTAGAGACGGGGTCTCGCTCTTGCTCAGGCTGGTTTCAAACTCCTGACCTCGAGCAGTCCACCTGCCTCGGCCTCTCAGAGTGCTAGGATTATAGGTGTGAGCCACCGC